AATCTGTGTGGCAACCACCAATGGGAAGACAGAAAATAATGAATTATCTTGAAAAATAAAAAAGAGCTGGAGCTGAGATACATCCCATAAAGCTGGGATACTGTCAACAAAAAGGGGTAGCAGATCCACTCACTGCCAGAGACAAGACGCTTATCTGCCTATGGTAACTAGGTCCTGATTCAAGGACTTAATTTTGCACTGATGAGCTGAAAATCCCTGAGAGAGGGAAAGTAAAGAAGTGTGCTGTGGGCCAGCCAAACAGCTCAGTGGATTAAAGCGCCTGCAAGCAGGCGCAGGGCCCAGGGGCTTGATCCCCCAGCCTCCCAGGCCGGGACCCTGGGGCGCGCTGAGATGGCAATTGAGACTGGGTGTGGTTGTGTGCGCCTGTAATCCCAGCTCTTGGGAGGCTGTAAACAGGCTGATCACTATGAGTCTGATCTAGCAGTGTGACCCTGAAGCACAGCAAGACCCTTCCCAAAAAAAAAAAAAAAAAAAAAAAAGAAGTGGGTTCTGGGCACATTTGTGAAGTGTGCTATGAAGTGTGGTAGAATGGGCCAAGACTAAGGGCCGGGGAGATGGCTCGGTGGACTAAGCGCTTCCCTGGCAAGCACAAGGGCCTGAGTTCAATCCCTGGTTCCGCCAAAAAAAAGAATGAGCCAAGACTGCCCAAGCCCTCACGGTCCTTGCGGTAAACAGCAGGAAAAATGTTACACCTGCTGCTGAAAGATAAACAGTGCCCTATCCAAAGAATGGTGAGTCCATAAATAAGCTCTCCTCACCGCTGTTCTTCAGGTCTTGATTTTACCAAACTGTCTAAGTAAGTCAGAAACTGAGCTGGCTGATGATGACAAAGTTGTACAATGTCCGAAGGCAAGATGGATGGATGAAACCTGATCAAGGATCGAAGGGCAGAATCCCCAAACTTCTCGGATAACCTGTATTTTAAAACAGAACACATTACTCAAGCACAGCCAGGAAACTTAGCAACTTATTAAGACTCTGTCTTAAAAGAGGAGGGATGAGGGGTGCTGATATGTAGCTGCTATGAAATAGGCCCGGGATTCAATCCCCTGTATCATAAATAAATACAGAACCCCTGAGTTTCCAACTTCAGTGAGGTGATATAATTTGGTTATGTTGCATACTTACTAGAAATGAAGCTAAATATACAGTAAGAAGCTGCCAACTTCAAAAATGGGTAAAACTTCAGAAACTAAGACACAGAAAAGTAAATGCTAGGGGCCGGGGAGATAGCTCAGCAGCACAAGCACCTGCCTGGCAAGTGCAAGGTCCTGAGTCTGATCCCTAGTATCAAAAAAGAGTTCATGTTTTAGGTCCTTTAAATAACATGTAGGGGCCAGGGAGCACAAGGTCCTGAGTTCGATCCCTGGTACCACAAAAAAAAAGGGGGGAAGGGGGGATAAATAAATAAATAAACAAACAACATATAGGACAACCTACCGGGCAGCATAAGCAATTAACAAAGGGCTATCCAAGGGAACAGAGTCATCCAATAACTTTAATCCTGTTGGTAGATCTCCTTCTCCCATCTCCACATATGCAGGGTTGGAACTTGCCAATTCTAAAAAATAAAGCACATCCTTTTTTCTTCACCTCTTAAATATTCAACTCATGAACACATTCATTCAACAACTTTGCTCATCAACTACATTCAAGGCCTGTTTGTTAAGCATTGCAGGATAGACCCAAAGAAAAAGAACGAGATGTAATCTGTACTTGAAAGAACCTTAAGGTCAAACTGAGAGATAAAGTATAATTTATAAACAGGACAAAGAAACAGGTAGCAAATATATAAATATTACCCTTAAAATTGTATCTGAAAAAAATTGTATCTGAAGCTATATATGGATATGATATAGCTAGAGAAACATAAACATATAGCAATCACAAGTGACACAGGGCCACCATCAATGTTACATTGCTCAGTCTTCTAGTAGTAGCTTTCTTTCATCTTTTAGAATTAAATTAATTTAATTAAATTCAAAAAAATTAATTTTAAAATATTTGACCTGTTTTTTAAAGTAACAGTGTAGCACTGAGTAAAGAGATTAAAAAAAAACCTCTCTTACACAGTATATTAACTATTGTTACTCCCTTACGCTATGAAAATTTATTTTTTCATTAATAAAAAACAGTATAGCAAATATCCATCCTCTGAAGGAACAGTTGATTTTGCAGGGAAAGTAAAGCCAAGTATAATGGAGTGAAAATCTGTATGGAACTATTTCTAGTTTTAAAAAAGCAATATGAATCTAAAGTAAAATGAATTTTCTTCAAGTAGTTTCCAGCTGGCTCTGAAGATAAGTCCTGAAGATCAGACTCAAAAGCTGTCTCTCATACTTACATCAGGAGAGGGGTGAACTGTTCAACAGACCATTTCTAAAAGGCCAACCTCCAGTTTCTGATAAATCTGTTTAAAAATGCCATTTCCCTCCTCCAGTCTTACTGCTTCCATTTGATTGTGTTAGATGTGCACTTCAAGGAATTCCAGGGGGAGCCACCACTCAGGGCTGGAGAAGCTCAGGAAAGCTTCCTGCCCGCGAGCAGGCTAAGAGAGACTCCTCACCTAAACTCAAGTACGCAGCCCCGTCCTTCGCACTGTCCCAACCTCGCTAGGCAGCACTGGCAACAGCCACCACTTCAGCTCAGGCACTTCTCCCTGATGTTGGCCTGTGACCAGGGTTGGGTATGATCATATAAGAGAGACAGAGCAAACTCCCAGTAAGTATACTGTCACACACATTAACCTATTTGAAAAGAAATAACTCCTTTCCTATTTCACATAAAGGACAATCTACCTCAACTCAAAAAAGTAATCTAAAATCATTTCTTGTGCTTTTTTTAAAGTGCTAACTGTGAATTGAAATCAAATTATAACTAAAGTTGCTTGTTTCAAGAAAGCTAAAAGGGGGCCAGGGAGATGGCTCAGTAGAATAAGCGCTTCCCTGATAAGCACAAGGGCCCTGGTTCCGAAAAAAAAAAAAAAAAAAAAAGAAAGAAAGAAAGAAAGCTAAAAGATCATAGGGCTGGAGAGATAGCTCAGCAGTCTAAGTGCCTGCCTGGCAAGCGCAAGGATCTAGGTTTGATCCCTGGTACCATGTGCTGGGCCAGCCACCGAAACTGGTCATGGTGGTGCATGCTTGTAATCCCAGTGCTGGAGAGGCTGAGAAAGGAGGATCACTACAAGTCCGACCTGCATAGTGAGACACTGTAACAGCCAAACACATT